TTGCGAGAAAATGCGTTCGATAGAAGCCGATGTCGCAGGCACCGTTAGATATTTTAGAGCAAGTTGATATAATCCTGGATAGATGTGCTTTTTAGAAAAAAGTAAATCTTCTTCACGACTTATCGGACCCTTATACGACTCTTATTAAGTCCGTATATAAGTGTTCGACCACGGTTGTGGTAATTATTCTGGACACCTACCCGCCACCTCGAGTACAAGTACGAGTACGAGTATCGGACCCTCGAGTACGAGTACGACCAAAATCGTACTCCAGTACGAGTACTTCGAGTATTTTGCCCAGCTCTGGGGTACAAGAAGTTTCATTACTAGGGCAGTGAAACATTTTTTTAGTGCTACGTCAAAGCAGTTACGCTAAAGATATCAATATAACACAGCCACGGTAAAACTGTGGCATCAAATTTGTCCCGAGGTACTATACAAACACTCTTACTTTAACGATATCACACTTTCAAGTTTTCATTGGATGTCTGTATTATACCTCGTATGGCTTAAAGAGAAATTCAGAACAATTCGAAAAAAGAAAAAACTGTGTCATTCGTATCGATCCATACTTTTATTTCATAAACAAAAAAGAACAGTTATGGTTCAAAGTTTAGGATTATTTCTTACGGGAGTACGGCTTGATGCTAGCAAAGTTTCATCAAAATCTCAAATGACTCTTACATTTTTTGTTCTGCAAGATTAATGATCTATTGATTTTCAAGATATCCTTGATCGGTAGATTATCTTAATCCATGTAGATACTTGTTTTCTTACAAAAGTCAACTAGTCTGAAACTATTACTTGGAGTTAGAAAGAAGCAAGCTTTGAGTATAGTCGTAATGATTGGTTCTATTGAAGGTATTATATTATAGACTTTGTTAGACATTAAAAGTCTCTCTGATACGAGGAGGAAGGAAAGTTCAGGAAGAAGTTAAAGAACACATTGATGAAATGGCTTTCACTTTTCAAAACCTGTTGATTTTGTTATGAGATGTCTTTCCCTCCCCAAGTTTCCTTTCAATTTCACGTCCAGTAGTAGTTTTCCAAATTTTTGTTCGTAGCTTGGTCGAATGTTTTAAAAACTTCGACTACATTCGACTACTTCGCCTACATTGGTTCGTCCAAGTTATGAACTTCCTTAGGTTTCTTGTTGCGAAATTTCGGCTCTAAAATTGTTCTCACATACATTACTAGAGGTTGCAGTAAGAAGAACAGATAAAAACGGTAATATAAAAGTAGATTCTCTAAAGGGTTTCTTTTAAAGTACTGCTTACATTGGATAATTTAGTTACGACTTTTAATTTTTTTTCATTGCCTTTTCTTTTAGTATGTCTTGTGGTAATGAACTACAGAAGGACGCGAATATCTTGTCAGACAACAGTGAGACAAAAGCCAGTCATAATTCAGAAGATTCACAAATCAAATTCGATCCACCTGTCTCTCGCCAGCGTTATAAATATGTTATTGATCAATTATCACTAGACAAAACTCTTTCTTCAATAATAGATGTTGGTTGTGGATCGTGTTCATTGTTTCAATTAATGAGATATTCAAGTGATCACATTCAGTTATTCTGTGGATATGACATAATGGAATTTCAGTTAGATGAAGCATGCAATTTTCTCAGACCATTGACTTATGAATTTATTGCGCCTCGTCGAGCGTTACCATCACACGCATTTATAGTTCTTGGTGATGCGACTAAGTCGTGTTCATGTTTTCATAATTTTGACGTTGTCACATTGATTGAAGTTATTGAACATTTGTTACCAGAACATTTGACGTTACTTGTTGATCATGTATTTCAACATATGCGCCCAAAATTAATTATCGCTACAACACCAAACGCCGATTTCAATGTGTTATTTCGCACTATGCCGTATGGAAAGTTTCGTCACAGTGATCATAAATTTGAATTTACACAACAGGAATTTCAAACGTGGTCAAATAATATAGCACAAAGTAAGATGTTTTCTAAACAGTAAAATACAGTTTCAACTCAGACTCCCTCTCATTCCATTGCGAGTACAAGAGAATTATATATATCTGAAATGGATCGCACACGGTTCTATTTTAAAAGAACTTTGAGATTTTTATGTCTTTGTATTTAGAGTATGGTTACGATGTTTCGTTTGATGGAGTTGGTTTAGCACCAACAGACAATGACGCGTATTACGAGCAAATCGGTTATTGTACACAGATAGCTATATTCCATTCACATGCATTTTTTCAGAAAGAAAAATTAAATCATATTGAATTACGCAAACGATTCGCTACTTGTACCTCGCATAGTCATCAGTTATTACGTTGTATAGAGTATCCATTTGATGAAAAACTAACTAAATTGAATAATGGCATACTTGCTAGCGCTGAGAGAGCAAAACTCCTGCACAGTCAAATCAAGTATATATTGTCGATGTATAAATTAAATACAATGACTAATCTCAGAAATGGAGTAACACTATCAAACAACAGCGAGAATAACAATAGTGAATTACTACAATTATATGATCTTGATGAGATTCATGACTTAGTCACGGTCTCTATTGATTCTTTACTTCAGCATCCACGTCTAATTGCACAAAACTGCGAAAAAGAAGAAATTATCAAAATAGCGATGGAAGAAGGTTACGCTATTGTGAACAACTATATCGTGCTTTGTGATGAAATTAATCAACAAGATGAAAATTATTATGATTATTCAGACAATTATGATGATGATGATAATACCATTCCTCAGTCAAATTTGACGTCAGATATTATACCAACCTTCGCTATTGAAGAGAGTTGGGATTGATTATTTTCATAGCTTACTCATTTTGGCCACTATAATCAAAAACTCTTTTCGTCTTCAATGTACGAACCATTGAAATACACAGTATTTTAATGGATCTCTTTCTCTTTAACATGGTGAATTTTCGGTGATTTATTCTCTTTTGTAAAGATATAGTTGTGTTTCAATTTTTTGTTTTTGATTCTTTTGTATCTAGGACACACTGTTTAGGCCTACAAATGTAAATGAAATAACTGCGCTGGACGCTGATATATGTATCTTTCTTTCTGCACATTGTATCGAAACAAGAAGCGGTTGCTGGAAAGCATTGCTAAACAACGACAGAAGCCTATCAAGATTGAAATATTTTCATAAAATTATTGTATTTAAACGACGAGTTTGAATCTCTCACTCCTGATAAGAATTTTACAAATGAATTCAAAACCGGCGTTTTACTATTTTCGAACATTTCCTTGGATAGTTTTAAAGCTTTCTGTTTTAGCGGTTTATTTCGTTCCACTCTGAGAGATGTGTGAATCATTTTACTCGTCCAGAATGGACCGATCGAAAGATGTCACTATTAGCTTAAAGCTGTTGCATTAAAAAAAATAAATGTATTTTCTATGCTCTACTTTTTTGTTATTCAGTTTAAGAAAATGAGAAAGTATCTGAGGTTTTTCGTCATCTTATTATATTTGTTGTAGATTTTATCATTTGAGTCTCTCGAAATTTAATGATGAAGTATATCTCAACATGAATATATATAATATAATAAATAGATATACAAACAGAGAAATAAACACGATTATTATTTCCGACACCTTGATTCTATATAAATGGCACTTCGAATCTCAAATTTTATTCTCAGTAATTGCACTTTGCACTCTTGTCTGAAGAAATTGACTATTCCGTTGAGCGATGATTATAATGCAAAGGTCTATATGCTTGTGTCAAGTGCAACAATAGGTACAACAGCAGGAAAAATAATAATAGAGAACAATAACAGATTTCTACCAACGGGGTACACTATGAATATTTCTTTATCTCGGAGTTATGTTTATTTTTATTTGTGTATCGTCTTGTGAATTGTTTTGTGTTCTTGCATTATACTTGTATACAACGTGAAGATGCTGAGAATCTCCCCGTACTTTTTTTCCACATGAAATAATCGAACTAGTCAATTTAGACGAATAAAAAGAAAGATCCCTTCAAAGAAATTCGATTAGAGAGCTGATAAGATTGCGAAGACAACTACTCAAACGGATTTGTCAGGATGCCGCTATTTTAGCATCTCTATAAAGCGATATCATTTTATATAGTTGTTTCAAGTCTGCATTTTATACAAACTTTTTCGTTTTCAGTATTTTTGCATCAGAATCTAGTTTTATTATTTTCCTAACTTTTTAGCTAAAAGAGTCCATTAGATAATACATTTTATTTATTCGGTTGCTTGTCGAACATAAAGAGAAAAAAACCAGCTCTCGCTTATGTTTGTTTTGTGTCTATTTCAGATATCAGTCTCATACTATTTCACTACTGAAAATTTAAAATGATGCGTTCATTAACTGTTGATGAGGTTCGTCGACGCTACAATCGACAAGTACTATTTTGTATACGTATTAAAGGTGCGGCCACACTCATTGGTTTCTGGGATTTGGTAAGTATTTCACTGAGCAACTCAGTAAAGTTGTTAAATGTGTTTTTATTACAGATGATTCATATAGCTGCATTATTTGCACTTACTTACGTATTTCTTCGTATGCCAACCGATGATCATGATCACACGGCACTCTTACCTACATCAAAAGAATTGAATAGTGGTATTGGTTCAAATAATATTCTTTTGACAAAAATTATTGATGCAAAACGAAATAGTACATCAGCAGCAACAGCAGATTTATATACAACTCTCGATCATATGACATTCAAATGGTCGCGTTCATTAAGTCAGCGTAAGATCATTGCGTCTCTATTGAACAAGACCACATTTAATTTATGTGGTTGTTGTTGTTTTAGAAGATAAATGTATCGTTTTTTTTGTCACATTATCTGCAACAGCTGTTATCTTGGCAGCACTGTACGGTGTATTAAGAGTATGTGATAATTAAAGATTGAGACCGCAGGATCAGCACTTCTTTTTACTTTAGAATAAGCCGTCGTATATTGTTCCGTATTTTTTAATCAAAGTATTTAATGTCATTGTCTCAATATTGAGCATGCTTGGTTTTTATGCTTATTTGCCGGATATAACATTGTGGATTCGTATACAGCCAAATTTTCCATTTAAACAAAGTTTACTTGAATTAGATCAACAAACGTTACAATTGGTTCTATTTGCATTTTTATTATTTATTGTTTTGGCTAAATTGTACATTGCTGCTGTGATATGGTATGCTTATGGATATATTACAGCTTTAAACATTGCACGCTCACTTGGTACAGTATCAGCCGAACCACCAATAACAGGAGAGGTTTGTATTAATTCACGCTGTTTATGAATTCTGTTCATTCCACAAATGTTTCGTCAAAATTCTAGCTCTACTCACCACCAAAATATGAAGAGGCAATCAAACAAGAACATTTTTATCCGATACCACCTCCTCCGTATCAACCATTACTTGCAAGTTAAATGATGACGAGCCAACGGGGGGTTGTTTTCTGATATATGACAGTTCTTTACTTCTATACTTAAACGATTATTTATTTTTTCGCTCTCTGTTGTATCGTCGTCGTTCGTTTTAACTTTTACGCTTTCATGGAAAACTAACTTTTTCCATCTTTGAATCTACAGTACTATAGATCTGATCTCAAATTAAAAAAAAAACGAGACCGGTGTGCGTACGAAAGTAAACAGTTGAGCATTCTAATTTTCTTTATAGATGATCTATTCTTGTATCGTTTATTTTCATGTAAAATTGCATTGATTTTGAACTCTTGCTCTTTGTTGTAATTTCATTTCATGACGCACGTTCAATTTTAGAGAGAACAGACAAATCTGAGTTATCTTTTTATCGATATTTGTTTTTTAAAGTGAGCGCAAATTCAAACGTTTTTTCTCCTTTATCCAAATTTAATCCCTCTTAAGAAAACAAACAAATTAACAGAATCTATTGAATGTACTTTTTACCAGTGAGAGAGCGCTTTTTTTTCCTTTTTCGCATGAAATAACAAAAACATGTAAATATGAATTTTATATTTGTCAATAAAACTCAAGAAAAAATAATCAGAAACTTTTGATAGTAGTCATAAGAGAAAGCAGGCGCCACTAAGAAAGAAAATGTATTTCTGTTTAAACGTCTATTATTATCGAATGACAACGCACTTGTGTACAATGGAAGTGATATACCATATTCTTGCAGGAAAATACTATCTGATAATGCACTTTTCTCTATCGTATGTTGCCAAAATTAGTTATTTTTGTTTTTCTCCACTTTTGATTATTTATCGTTGTAATAATTGTTATTTTCGATCTGTTACGTCCAATGATCACCAAATTTGATAGATTAGTGCAGCTACATTCATAGAGGATCCGCTAATGGGTCTCATTCTTACTCATTATAATAAATGACTTTGTTACGCGATGCTCAAATCAAAAAAGCAGACATAAGTATCTCAGCGAAACAAAACTTATGTTCTGCTTGTCAGTGTATGAAGCGATTACCTGAAGCTGCAGAGATCAAACGACATACGCTCACTGTGGTTTATCTAATTTTTCTTACCGAGTTTTATATTAAATTTTTCGCGCGTCTGCTTATTTTACGAGATTAGCTAATCATGTTACTTATCATTTATCGAATTTTTTGCATACATACTTCCACATTTTTCGAAAAACGCCATTAATTTCTGGAGGACACTTTTTTTAATAAAAATAAATTTAGAACAAAATCTATCTCGTAGTAGTTTATATGTACCTAGCCCCTCTAAGTAAAATAAATTTCATATTACGAGCGGGTGGGCTGGTACTTTCAATTCGAGTTCTGCAAATAAACATGATAAAAAAATAGGGATCGCTCTAGTCGACAGTCCTGTAATAAGTTCCGCAGGAGTCCGCGAAAAACGCAAAGTCTCGTAGGACTTCCATAAAGTCCTATGGAATTCTCGTTTTTAGACAGAAGTTACATCTTTTTTTGGGACTCGGGACAATTATGGCAAGTACCACGGGACTCCCAGAAAAGTGAAAAGTCCCGTGGGACTTCCGGTCAACTTCCAAATTACTTTTTCGTCTTGTCAGCGACACAAGTATATAATACCTATATATTTTTTGAAATAATATGAAAGTTTTTCTCAAATGTTCATTGATAGCTAAGAAGTCAGTGACCATTAATAAGTCATTAAGGACTAATTAAGCTTCGACTAATTAGGCTGACACTTAATTAGCCGTATGAAAATTTGTGGAAAAACTGTAACCTGAAGGTAGAAAAAAAAGTTGAAGCTACTGGCAAAACTAGAACATGTAACTCAAAAACGTTCCAGAATCAAGTGAATCAATCAAAAAAGTCCCGCAGGACTCACGTGGGACTTCTTGCGGGACTCTTGACTAGGGTCTGCTTTACGATAGTTCTTTCTTTAATTAGTGGACATTTTTATATTTAATTTCATTTAATTGTGTTTTAAATGTTTTACTGCAGTTCGATTTATGCTTGCCTAATAAGATGTTTTAATCCTTTTGACTGAGATTTCTCATGCTCGTCTTTAAATACTGTTGTAACAAATTTTATATTGAGAATAGACTCTAATACCACTAATTTGTAGAGCAGCTTAAGTTACATGTATGAAATAATGCATAGACCTTCCGCATAAGTTTTTACTGAGTTAGCGAATCATTTCTCTTGCATCTTCGTGTTTTCGCCTACTGCTGAAGTTTATTTTACGCATTTCATTTTACTTCGTTAAAAACTCATCTAGTAAGTCTAAACATTTTTCCATACATGTAACTCGAGCTACTCTACAAATTGGTGGTACCAGGGCTTGTTAAAGTGAAACTATGAGGTAGATCTATAGAAACTAGGTTTCTGTAGACATCGGTAAAAGTCCTCACAAGCTCCAGTGACTATTAGATACATCAAGAATTATTCTAGAAAAACTAGTTTTAATCAATAAAACTTCTTTAAACCAGCTTCGCTTATTCTATCTGGAGAAATATATTTTCTTTCCCCTTTTTGCCACAAACACACTAAGAACTGCTGCTCCAAAACTCAACTTTTCAACATCATTGATGAATTTCCCTTAGAGACTTATGTACAACGGTATATAAAGAAACGATTGGAAAAAATCGAACAAACCGACCTTGGCCAGTCACTCTTCTACACAGATGTATTTTATTGGGATGCTTATAAGAAACAAAAAGGCGACGACATGGGACTTTTCTTTCGGATGAAAGAAGGGTGAAGGACTTGCGTGATAGGCATGAATCTTTGCTGATTAAATGGATAGCCTTCATTGAAAATATGTAATTTGAGCTTCTTTTTGCATCCCTAATTTCTCTTGTATGCTTCTTCGTCTATCTTCTCCTTTCCTCCTCCCGCTCTCTACTTTCTTTACTTTTATATACCCCTCTCTCATTTTGCTGAAGTAGGAACACATGTACATCTTTAGTGCTTTATAGCTTTATTCGCCTGTCACTAACTACGAGCTGTTGTTATACTGTTCAATTGTAAGCACTCCCGAGTGTAACAATAAACGCAAATTAAAAAAAAAATATATATATATATTTTTCTATTTTTATTGAAATCTAAAGCTATTTTATGGAAGGCTCATAATTTCATCTTGCGCGTCTGATTATAGATCGTCATATTTGATTTAAATAAATAATGTAACATGAAATTATGGTCAAGCCGTTTCTTCGTTTAATATTGTTAATTCAACGTCTCTTCAATTAATGTCCGCAGTCAGTTTCATGCGAGGTAGTAAAAGTGTTTTCTAGAAAATATGTTTTCGAACCTGATAAAAAAAACTTATAGCAAAATACAGATGAAAGATAGAATGAATGTGCATAATTCAAATGAAAAAAAACTATGAAGACTATGAGGCACATTGGGCAAAGTAATATTCACAAAGATGGAGAAAAAAAAGACAAAATGCCTATTTGAGCAAAAGTTACAACAAAATAAGCTTCTGGAAAGATGCAGAAAGTAGAACAATAGTTTTGAGACTATTGTTGAAAAAATTTAGGGAATACGGACCAAACCCCTCACCTTCTCTTTTATATTAAGCAACTATAGATGTCACCGGAAGTAGACGCTGCTGAATTGTCCTACTGGATGCACAAGAAGGCGCTATTAAACATGTTGTAGTCGAGTTCATATTTAGTCCTCGATCAACTTTAAAACTAGTTATTGATGCTGGTATCGTTGTTACTGGTGGTGATATGAATGTTTTTTGTCTTGGAAACAAATTGCCAACTATCGATTTTGTATTGAGTGGTGGACGATAATTGTATGATAGCCAGTGGATTTCTGATTTTGCACGATGGAAATTTTCGATACCAGCGCCTATAACATATCGAGATAATGCAAATTTATGTGTCTAACTACGTTAGAATCTTTTCATCAAATTCATTAACGTTTGAATGATTGAAAGCAAGCGGGACTCACGAACCTAAGTACATAGTAGGCTAGAGGTTTATGACCTGTTTTATGTCATAATAGTCCAGCCCCGTATGAGAGAGAAGTATTTTGTTAATAACACTGTTATATCGCGTGAAAAGCAAAGCTATTTCAAACGGCGCACATCAAGACGGAACTCTTAAAATACAATGGAAAAAGTCAATCATATTATTACTCAGCACAAAAAACGGATAATATCCATTTTCTTTTGTGCAAAATAATTTCTACTAGGTTTCAAGAAAAGCATCACTCTCACATAACAGATGTAATTAGTCGGCATTCACCTACACCACTTAATTATATTTAAATTGTTTTTATCTTTATCCCTTTGAAAAAATATACCTGTTTTTCTCTCGAAAAGGAAATCAATAACATTTACAGTAGCAACTTTATTTTTCCCTATAAAATGGAGAATGATGTCTAGATAGCACACGCTTTCTTAGAACTTTACAACAAAACGTGAAAGATTAACTAATAAATTCATGCAATGAATATAACAGCATGCATTTTCCTAATAAATATGACATACATCCTTAAACAATAAAACTAATATTGACTAACGACTGGCTTTTAGTTATAATAATTTACCGCTGGTGTCTTGAAAAAGGTCGATCAACCTCAATCGTACGATTACCACTTTCGACGCTAACTATAATAGAATGAATTAACCTCTCTATTATACAACAAATACCCACACTGTGTTTTGTGCTGTGACTTAGCATCAAGACTTATTTAAAAGTGTTGTTTTGTGCTTGAATGTGTTTATATATAAATATATATATAGATATGTAATTTTCGAACCTTTTTATTTTATTGCTAAGCTGTTTGCTCTCTCATTAATAATAGTGATGTAAATACAACCGTTTGTTTTCGAAATGATTTGCCTTTTCGAATTAGTAATTTTTGTTTTAATAATTTTGAATTTGTTGTATGTAATGGTGGTAGATGATTCAAATTGAGACTTGTTATGAGATCTTTAAAATTTTAATTAGGATATTCAAGAATATTAAATGTATAGATAATGTTAGAAAATGCTTACGAGAGACCTAAAAAGTTTATATACGAGAATATCTCTTACCTTTTGGAGATGGCAATCTATCATTGATCTTTGATCTGCTCAGTTGTCGTATTGGCAAAGAATCAACGGATATCCGTGATGAAGTTGATTTGAGTTTATTGATGGGCATACTAAAGAGTGGATCGTTTTGTTGAGAACGAAGTAATTTGACAAAATTTTTTCCATTTATTGGATTATATTGATGATAATTATCATCGACTGTTTGAGATAATGCTAGAGTTTCGAGAGGTGGATTGGATAGAAGTTCAACACGTGTTAACGTTGGTTGTGTCATTTCACGTCGTAGTTTTACAGCAATGCGATTTTCGGTATTACTACTATTAGCAGAATAAACGGATGTTATTTGTTGAGAACGTAAGGATAATACATCGGTATTAGTAGGTGAGCGAGATGGTAGCACATTATTCTGATTTACTGATGTGCTTACAGAACCAGCAGACTGAGTTGTTGCTGCTGCTGCTGCTACTGTTGTTGTTGTTGTTGTTACCGTTGTTGTCGGATGTGCCGTCGATGATGTTCGACCGGTTTTACACATTTTTCCTGAAACAATTTTCAATTCGGTCGATTAACATAATGAAGTGTGTTGTTATATATATACCTTCTACGCGGAGATCAATACCAATGTATGTGGGCACCGGAACGGGAATACCTTTGTGAATTAACTCAAATCGTCCAGTATCAGCTGATTTATTATATCGTCGATCGATCATTACTAAAATAATGACACTGCAATTTTCATAAACGAAAAGTATCAATATTATATTACCTTTACAAGTATCTTCAAGAACACTATCACACATTTCGGTAGTGACTGCTGTACAACGAGCCATTGTGGGAGAACAATTAATTTCAATTAACCATGGTTTTAGACTTTCATCAAGCATAAAATCAGCACCATAAAGTTCGAATGAATTCTAAATCAAACTCATTAATATTGTTCTATATTGTATACAAATATTCATCACTTACTTTCCTAGGATCAATAATATCTTGTGCTACTAACATTGAACAGAGAATGGCATCTTTCATTTCTGGATAAATTTGTGAATCCCATTTGTTGGCTAAATTATTTGGTTTTAAATATTTTTCAATAAATTCTTTATTTGTCCACATATTTTCATCTGAAAACAAAAAAACAGTAGTCAATCAATAATTTGTAGGAAACTAAAATGACATTTTACCTGGCAAATTGTTATGTCTTATGGGATTATTTTTATAATGTTTTTGTATACTATAATTACACAAATGAACATTTTGATTTCGTGTTTCTAAACTAAAATGTTCGGTACAAAATCTCAAATAACAATCTTTAAACATCCATATTGTCAATGGATTCCAGTCTGTCACCAAAAACCATTGACGAATGTCAAATTTTGTACTGTGAATTAAGAGTGGACGTTCAATATATTTTTGTACAACAAATTTTCCATCTTTTGATAATGCACTGGAACAAAGTTTTAGAATATCTTCTAATCGATCATAAACAACAATACCTTAAATAAATCTTTAATTTTTATTGGCAATGACTAGTTGATGGCATATTTTCATTCACCTCGTCCTCTTGATTTTGCACCGGGTTTTACAATCCAAATGTTTCTTGTGCCATCGATTTGATATTGTGGCCAATACTGTTTGACTTTTGATAGACAATCATCGACTTTTGATATATTCGCATCCATACATTCAATATCAACATTCGAACTACAAAATAGATAAAAATAATGAATTGATATACAGTTAATGTTTGCTTACTGAGAAGCCGCATAAAAATTTTCAATAAACTGATTCCATTGTTCATCTGTTGCCTCATTTCGATTGTTTATATTTATGTCAATATCGTCATGATCTCGAGATAGGACGAATTGCAATACTTTTGTCATAGCAAATTCAATGGCCGATGATGGAACTTTGATGATTTTTGTTGGTTTGCCCCCTTTTGATCGTGGTGATGATTGAGATCCATTTGCTACGCTAGCGACGGTTGTTTGTTCCGTTATCGATTTAATTTGAGATGTTGATGGTTGTTGTTCATCAGCTGTTAGATCAACAGCTTGACATGAATCCTCGTTCGATACTGGTGCAGCATGATTATCAGAACTCATCGCCAAAATGGATTGCATATCTAAAAATAGCGATACCAATAATAGACCAGAATCATTTTAGAAACGTACTGCAGCTCACCTGGCTCAGCGACACCTTTACAACGATTTTGTATTAATTTCAGAAAACTGATGCAGGCAGTTAAACGATAATCATCTTTAAAAACATCACAACAACTTGTATTTCTGTTCTAGATAAACCGACGAGGGAAGTACCCCAACTGATAAATCGCTTTTTCAACGAAACCGAGTGGACTATAGGTAGTCGATGATACTGATAATGAATGCTGCTGCTAGGCCTTCAAAGACCGGTCTTCTGGAAAACCAGTTTTCGAGAAACTCTAAAGAACAACCAAAAGCTTTCTTAATGAGGCGTAATTGTAGTCCATAAATTTCTTGATTAAAATGAGGCATCTCCCAGCTCTACACGACATTTCTTTGCAAAGTTATAGAGTTTACAAGAAAAGCCCTAAATGTTCATTGCCACCTCAGAGCTACAGAAAGAAAAACGAAAAATGAATTTAGGGCTTTTCTTGTAAACTCTATAACTTTGCAAAGAAATGTCGTGT